AAATTTAAAAATCTAATTAAAGAATGTATTAATATCTAGAGAAGAACTTGCTTAACAACATCGTATTTCTTTTGTTATGGAAACAGAGACCAGTTGAAAACTGTGAAAATAACAACATATTTTTATTTCACAAAAATAATAGGTCAGCTTTTTTCGTTTTTATATAAGTAAATCATATCATTTTCAAGGTAATAAATCAGAAGGAAAATCACCGAAAACCGATTACCAAAAGGTCTATTAGTTTTTTTAGGAAATGGAAAGAGAAACAACGCATTAATTTCGCTGTTTCTCTTCCACGATGTCTGGTCTCCCTCTTGTTTAAAATCGATAACTATACTCGGATTAAGGTATTTTGTACCGTTCTAACACGTGCGTGTTAACACATTTGAATTAAAACATTTTTTATAACAATAAGTAAACTTTGCTAAAATATATACAATATTCTAAAAGGTAAATCAAATTTATGTGATTATACAAGATTTTGATTTATTTTCTTATATAATATGAATTACTGAAAAAATTTGGTGTTTAATTTTAAACCTGAAACTTTATTTATTTTAAAAATTCCCACTATAAATATAAATTTGACTGCGCAGTGAACTAGGTACCCTTCTATAGGAACCCACATTTTTATAAAAAAAATTAATTTTAAAAAATGTATATAAATAAGCCCATATAGTAATTTTTAGTCAATAAAATTAATATAATTTATTATATCCTTTCAAAAAAAGTTTTATAACTTTCTGCTTTCTTGATGGGGCGTTTTATGATTTTACTTTGTATATGTTTAGGTACAGATAATTATTAGTACTGTAAGTATATTTTAAATCAGTAAAGTAATATTTTGTTAATCCAAAAAAAAGGGAAACAAAAAAATAGGTACATGCCACATACAGTGTAATAAAAATTAAATACATAAATATAGTACGTGATGTACCAACGAACTAAAGTGTCACTTTACTCAACATTATTATTTAATCGTTACAAAAAGTTACTGAAAAAAAATAATAATTAAATAAAATGCGAGTCGGACTCGCGCATGAAGGGTTCCGCACCTACGTACAAGATTTAATATTAAGATCAAGCAAAAAAGCCCTCTCTAGTAGGGGAGCCCTCCTTTAATTTTTAATTTATTTTTATTTGTTGTTATAGCGGCAATAGAAATACAGATTCTCTAAAAATTTCAACTGTCTACCTATTACGGATCATGAGATACAGACCGTTGACAGACAGACGGACGGACAGCGGAGGCTTAGTAATATGGTCCCGGTGGTTACCCTTCGGGTATGGAACCCTAAAAATGGACCGGTCGGATTTGAACCTGTGAGCTCTTGCTTATAAGACGGGCGCTTTGCCACTGCTTCACAGTAATGAAAAGAGATTATTGCAGAATTTTACTGAAGTTTATTAGTCGCTAAGGGACTAAAATATTTTAGTCCCAAGGGAGTAAAAGTGACACTTTAGTCCCTAAAATTTTACTTACGACTCATAGATTAAAAATTACTTTTTTCTTTAAGCTTATTAAGATAATAAACACATTATGTTCTGAATAATTTATGAAAACCATCATTGTACTAGTAATAGCTTATTTGAGCATGTATGTAAGTTATTACCATTATAAATAAATGCTTTACAGATTTCGCGCAAAAACAACACTAAAAATTATAATAATATTTAATTATAATGCATTATATTACAATTTCTTCCAATAATAATGTTAAATAGATAATGCTCTAAATAAAAGTTCGTTAATTTTGACATTTCCCTCCAAAGGTTGATAAAGAATTCCTTTTGGTGTCAAAATATGACTCAGAATGCTCCACTTGTCATATCACAAAATACTGTTTATGTCGTCTATAGCAAAATAACAACATTTTCTTTTACTCAAATGAAGTTGACCCTGCACTTGATAATAGTATAGACATGTTTTTTAATCTATATTTACCATTAACTCTTTCCATATATTAAAAAAATAAATTATCAATAGCCTCTTCCGGTTTGTAATTTTTGGCTGAAGAAGGACATTTGACTTCCACCAAAAGGTTTTTTTCGATTAGGCCATCTGGAGTTGCAGCCAATAATGAATGTTTGGTATTAATAAATATTTCACTATCTAAAGATTCACCTAACTCCCTTAACGCTCTTTATTTTCTATACCATACTTAGTATTTTTATTGCCAGAAAATTTACATTTTAATATGCCCATGGCAACTTTATTTTTATTAGTAGATTCCCGAAGTCTACAAATTCGTTCAAAATTTGAGGCCGTTAATCTTTTTCGTTGCTCCTCAAACCATTTATCAGATTATCTTTTGCTTAAGGTTTTCTCAAAAATTTTTTGTGCTTCTATGCTGGAAACCTGTAAATTTTCAAGAAATTGATGTTTAATTTATTTAAATTCATCGGGATCAAATTTCCAAAATCACTCAAGAACTAATGAACGTCGGTAGCCGTGGTAGGGAAAAAATATATGGGATGTAGTAGACGATTTCGAATTCGAACGTTCATATTTTGTATGTACGCTCTCATGCCTCATTTTTAGGCTCCTGAAATATAAAACTTTTCGAAAAAAAATAGTAATTTTAAAAAATTCAGGATGCTTTGCTAGAAAGAAGTCAGCAGAGCACCTAGGTTTTTAAGTTTCTCTTTTTTTTTTAAACAACCATGCCCCATTTTTTTGGTTTTATTTTGGTTCTTGATAAAATAAAGCTTATCGAAAAAATTGCTGTTTTTAAATACGGTATGTTTTGCTAACTTCAAACGAAGCCAGTGGAGCACCTTGGGATTTTAAAGGGTTTTTCTAAAAGCAATTATGCCACATTTTTTGGCTCTTGAAATTATATAAAAAAATACTGTTTTTAAAATTTCGAACGAACCCAGCAAAGCATCATGTTTTTCTAAAGTTTTTTTCTGAAAATAATTACACCTCGTTTTTATGGTATTTTCAGGCTCTTGAAATATATTAAACATTTCGATAAATTTGCTATTTTTGAAAAATCCTCTGCTATATTTTTTTTAAATAGCATTTTTCTAATAAATTTTTATGTTTTAAGATCCTAAAAATAGCCTAAAAATGTGGTATATTTGTTTTTAGAAAAAAACCTTGTCAACAAGGAATTGCGTATTTTTTAAAACATGCCAAATTTTTTCAGAATGTTTTATATGGTTTGTTTTTTAAACAAAAACGAGGTGCTCTGCTGGCTTTGCTGGCTAAAAAAGCATCCCGTATTTAAAAAAAATTGTTAACTTTTTAATATCTCAAGAGCCTAAAAATAGCCTAAAAATAGCCTAAAAATAGCCTTAAAATAGCCTAAAATGTGGCATAGTTGTTTTTGGAAGAAGAAAAAAAATTTAAAAATAGCAATTTTTTCGGAAATCTTTATAATATACGAAGGGTCAAAATAGCCTAAAAATAGTTTTTATATAAAAAATTATTTTAAAAAAACCGGGGTGCTCTGCTTTGTTCCAACAAAGCAACCTGTATTATTTAAAATAGTAATTATTAAAAAAAAAAATATATTTGAAAAGTCTAAAATAGCCTAAAAATATGTGTAAGATGTTTTTTAAGAAAGCCTTAAAAAACCGAGGTGCACTACTGGCTTCGTTCGAAGCTATTTTTTTTAAACATTTATAATTTTTCAAGAGTCTAAAAATAGCCTAAAAATGTGATGTGGCTTTTAGAAAAAAAAAAAAAAACTGAAAAACCAAGGTGCTTTGCTGGATTCGTTCGAGCACCCTGTATTATTTAAAAATACTAATTTTTTTCTAAAAGTTTTATAATATTTTAAGAATCTAAAAATATGATGTTTTTGAAAAAAAAAATAAAAAACTGAAGTGCTCAACTTGCTTCGTTCGAAGCTAGCAAAGCACCCTGTATTTTTAAATATCAATTTGTTTTTAGAAAATAGCTTTAAAAAACCGAGGTGCTCTGCTGACTTTGATCCAACAAAGCACCCTGTATATTTTAATAATATCAATTTTTTTCGAAAAGTTTTATAATATTTCAATTTAAATAGCTTAAAAATATGGTGTTATTTTTGGAAAAAACTTTAATAAACTGAGGTGCTCTGCTGACTTCGTTCGAGGCTAGCAGAGCACCTTGCTTTTTGCAAAAAACGAGGAACCTAAAATTTTTGAAATTGGACATAAAAATTGCCTAAAAATAGCCCAAAAATAGCCTAAAAATATGACACAGGTTTCAACTCAAAATTCCCTAGGTGCTCTTCTGACTTTTTTGGCATATACAAAAGAGCTATTTAAAACAGTTCTTTTATTATATTATTATATTCTATTTATAAGTTGTCAAATTAAATAATTAATTTAGGAGCGCCCGCAAAAATACAAATATTAGAAAAACCACAATTATTCAAAACGCATTAAGATACCTTACTAAAATTTTACCAGAAAATTCAGCACTCATTTTGTATTACCTAAAATTGTAAATTATTTTTTGATTGAAATCGACCAACCTAAAAAATACCAGCAATATTTACATCTGCTTCGAATTTTTTAATTATAACATTTGTTCAAACGTATTTAATTGAGCTTTATTTAATAATGTTTAATTTAATAGTAGTGAAGTACAAACGCAATGGTATATATTAGTTACAATTTTAGTTGTTTTTTCAACTATTCAACATATTCCAGCTTAATTAATTTTTTTAAGAAGGGAAAATCATTTATTTTTACTCAAATACTGTTTTTTTTTTTCAACTCAATATCAGATTTTTTATCTATCCTGTATTGTTTAGGAAAATTGATATTTAAAGATAAATTATCTATACTTAATAATTTTTTCATTATTAAGACATTTTTATTAAAAAAAAATCGGTAGGCAACACCCGCTATAGAGCCTCAGGTCTATCCATGTTTCTATTTTTAACCCGAATAGAAGTAGAGAGAGGGCTAAATGCACTCGCGTTTTCAAATGTGATTGAAGTTTTTAACGCAAGTTAAATACGTACGGTGCCGCCATTGGCCGATGCATCTGTGACGTCAAAAAGGAGGGGGAGCTTTGGAGAGATCTTCGCCAGCGGGAAAATTCGCGGCTATTTGATGCCGCGGTAAAGTGTTCATAACAGATCAGTTGAAGATCCTTTCCCGACAACACCGCATCAAGGTAGAAAATTTTTTGATTGGTTTGCCATCATCAGCTTTTTGGTTAGTGTTTTCCAGCTAGTTACCAATTAATGCTTTTAAAATTAATTGTAAAAAGAATTCTTCCCCGAACGAAGTTTACAAAAAATTTTGCGCAAGTATATTGTTTCTATTTTTTGTTTTTTGATTAAAATTATTAATTGCTATTTTTTTTAAAGATTCCAGCTTGTGCTTTTTTTATTAAATATTAACATTTTCCAGTTTTGCTTTTTTAAATCAAATCAGATCACTCTAATAGCTAATTTCGCTTAATTATTACACTTTTCAAATCATTGACTTTAGCAAACTATCAGTAATTTTCATTTACATCTATGATTTTAATGGTAAAGAAAATATCGAAAGTTTAAAATCGAAACTTTGTTACGTAACTTAGATGCGGCATCAGTAAATTCCCCTAGTTTCGCACGGAAATGGCTTAATAGGTTGTTCAGAAAATTTATTAGATGATTCAGGCCTTAAATTGTTAAAATGATTAAGCACTTAGATGCCAGTCTAGAATATTATACACATACCAAGCGTAGTGAAAATTAGGTATGGTGGATTTTTGTTGCAGTTGTCAGACATTTTGAGTTTTACTATGCATTCTGTTTTAGAATAGAGTTTTAGATTCTAATTCAAAATATTTCAATATATTATCAATAGAACAAACAACTATATTTTAATAATAATTTTATAAATATACCGCAAGCACCTTATGAGCTTTGGTAACAGAATTATAAAAACTAAATATAGAAATTATAACTATAAATTATTGCAGAAAATTATCAAAATGTTTTAGGAAATAAATTAAAATTTAACATTTCTTCTAATCTAAACACAATGTATGCGAAGCTTGTTTTTTAGATTATTCCTAAATTAAAACATGACTATTGTTTTAATTGGCTCTAACTAATATTGAGAAAAATATATTCTAAGGAAAAACTATAATTTGGAAAAATGTACGTTATCTTGAAGTATACGCATGTCTATATAACAAAAGAGTACTACAACCGTTATTGCATATTTTTAAACAAAATATAAAAAAAATATATGACAGAAACATGCATTTAATATTTTGTCAGTTGGTAAATTGAATTATATTCTTGTTCATTATTAATAATAATGTAAAATTATTTTTTAAACTAGTTCAAATTTAGAATATATTGTATAGACCATTAATAGGTAATATATAGATTTTTTTGAGCCAAACCATTAAAATTCATCAAGACTGTCTTAAAAATATCCTCGCTACACGCCAAGCTACTAACAAACATTTGTTTTGACAGTGAGTCATGTAATATATTGACCAGGATTTTTTCACTCGACGTGTATTCAAAAATATCGAAATAGCTTGGCGCTGTTACATAATGAATCTGAACTTCGATATTGAATCAAGTTAGAGCGATTTGTGCTTTTTTTCAGTTTCAGCATAATTATGATTATTGATTAAGTCTACCTACGTATCAGGGTCACGGGTAACTTTGTTAAATTTGACCTAGGATAAGTATATTTTGCATAGCGACCGAGAATTTCAGTAGTTCAGTAGGATGTAGAAATTGTTCCATTGCACATCCAGGGCTGTAGTTTGGGGGGAATTGAGCAATTGAGTAACTCTACCCTGAATAAATTTTTGAAATTTGTTTATCGTTTAAATATGAAGATTTTAATATTATTATTAAAAATGTATTCTTTCAGAGGTAAAACAGAATCAGTTATATTTTATCTTTCGGTTTAGACTGCGCACTTTTAGAATTTTGCCCGATATTCCGAAATATATTTTTCTTTGATAAAAAATATATATGGTATTTTCGAAAAGACATTTTGATTCTTCTTCAGGTCAGTGAAGTAATTCCCAACTAGCATTCTAATGCTGTATAAGTTCTATGCTTTCTATACTAGATGCATTCAGATAAGAGTTATTCGTTTGATTGACAAAACTTTCAATCTTATTCGTCTGATTTTTCAAACCTGTCTCTATAATTTGAAATTCTCGTCGAATGTAAACTATATCAAAGTGTTTTTTTAACAGATATCTCAATGCAACACAATTTACAAGCCCCTATAGACACTAGTAAAATTGTGGTAACTCCACAATGGTTAGATTAGATTAGATTTTTAGAAGAGTTGGTTTTTTACCATCGAAACTTTTCACATCTATTACCTAGCTTTGTTTTTATCACTAGTGTGGTTAAATGTTTTTGGCTTTTCTTTCCTTAGGGTTGGAAATCTTAATCAAGTCATGCCGCGATGGCACAGAACATTGACACTGCCCCTTCTTCTTCACATAACATGAATAATATTACTTCTACTGCTCGATTGATGATACTCATATATGAATTCTTAGGTGACAGTCTCCGGATTAAAATGAGATTACATTCGTGATAGATCAGATAGCATTTCTTTTTAGGGGTTGTTGATGTAGGATTAAGGAGTTCAGACAATTACCTAAGAACTCGGAATCTTTTAAATATATTAATATGTTACTCAGGCTCTTTTTTGGGGCAGTAACAGTTGGTGTAAATATTGATGTCTTCTGTGTTTAAACTTGTTTATATTTTAATTTGTAATGACTTATGTCGCCTTATATATTTAGGCGGTGAAATATTAAAATTGAAAATCTTTCCTACCTCCCTAGAAAAGCTAGTGACAGTTCTTCATAGAAAGCCTCGTTAATAGTTAAGATGTTTCTATTTTTTATAAGTACTTATAATTTCTATGCGAAATATAATTGTACCAGTCTAGAACAGTTGCTATGTTGAAAAATCGTGACCTTTGATAAAAATTCACTTGACTCTTATCAGATTTACTAAATTAATCAAACCCTTTGATGATAGCACTTTGCAAAAAATTAC